CATAACATAACATAACATACATGCATACATGCATACATACATGCATACATACATACGTGCATGCATGCATGCATGCATGCATGCATGCATACATAAACACCTACATGTATACATGCATGCATGCGTACATACATGCATGCATGTATACATACATACAAGACGTGTGTGTGTGTGTGTGTATGTCTACATATATATATATATATATAACATGTGCACATATGCACACCTACCATCTCCCAGCACCTGCATAAATGAGTCAGGACATGGCAGGACGTTTCGAAACAGTGCCCGGCTGGACATGCGCTGTGCTCTTGGATGCCCATCTCCCATCTCAAACTCGACAATAATTAAGGGCTCTTACAAACTTACTGTATGAGCTTCACTGCAAACTTATAACCTTCCGAACTTTCCAATTACTGCGGCGCCTCCACCCACTCCTTGTCTGGCGTACAGGTTACTCCAGCGACGCTGTGGGGGGAGGATGGCCACCTGAGTGCTTAGCCGGAAGGCATTCCGCGTGGGTCTAGTTTTAGGGGCCTTAATGATTGCATAAGAACAACCCCTGAGTACTCAATCACATTACATAGGCGCAATCGAGGCCCCGATACTGGAGTTGATGAGCCTAGGTCAACACAAGAGCCTGGCCATAGGGTTGAAACGCTTGCAAGCTGCATGTCAACTTTGGGTTGAGGGCTTGGGGCTTGGGTTCAGGGCGTAGGGTTTGATTTAGAATTCAGCGTTCAGTGACTTAGGCGTTCGGGCTGCTGTCCTGCATCGACTCGTCGACGGAGGCTGGGTAGGTGGAAAAAGCAGTCCTACTGTAGGCGTCCTAATAAGTAGGGGGCGCTTGTGGGATGTATGACAAACATGACAAGGGAGCCCGAGGAATGATATAATAGTAACTATGTCGGTTTCTATAGGACTTCCTCGGTCATCTTCCCAAAACCATGTTCTCAGCAATGAGCATATCTTGGACCCATCTTTGCTGCCGAGGAACACTGAATAGAGAGTACGAGCCTTATCATAACAACCCTAAACCCTCAACCCTAAACCCTAAACCAAAACCCCTTGCCGGACCCTTATTTTTGAGAACCCCGCTCAATGCTGGACACATCTCGGCCTGAGGCTGTTGAGCTCTTCGCAGTTGGCTTCCCGTACGAGGGGTCAATATGATAGTGCGATTAATGTAATATGATAGTGCGATCAATGTAGGAGCCGCAGGAGCCTTAATTATTAGAATAAGGTTTTGGGCTCCCGAATACTACAATTATACCAGGGAACCCTAAGAAATGATGTTGAAAAACTATTTATGCTTCTACATTATATAGGGACTGAGAGGGCTAGTACCAATCGTTCATCTCTGCTACCTTTGCAACCTCTAAGGAACGAATCTCGCTGGAAAGACGCGTGGTTTTTCGAACCGGTGAGAAGCATGCCGCTAACCCCCTAGTTAATGTGGGGCCAGGGGCATTAGCAAGTAGAACAGGTTTCTGGGGCATATCATACTAACCCCCAACATACTATGGGTTATTAATTGTTAAAGCCCCTATATAAACATCGACGTAAACCCTCAAACGTGTCCAAGCCGCCGCCAGTTGTCCTTGAGGCCATCTGTGAGTGTCTTGTGTTCACAGCCGCGCATTCCGGCGGAACAAGTGACGGGCCTCAGAGCACCAACAAATCCAGGCATTGAAACTCTTCGGGACGATTTTCGGGTCTCCCTTCAGGGCTCCTAAAAGGATTCTATAAGGGGTTTAGGGTTCAAGGTTTGGGGATCTTGGGCCAAGCGATTCAGGGGCTCTGCACTGTTCTTAGACTTAGAAGGGTTTCCATACGGGTTTTATATGGGTCCCTGAACATGTTTCTAACAGGGTTTCTAAAATCAGGCCTGTATGAGTCTTTACCAGGTTATCGAAATATGAACACAAGACCCGAGGCTCAATCGAATTCGGCCGCCGGCGGCAAAGTCCACGATCCCTAAAACAAACCCAAACAACAAGGCAACAAAACCCTGAAAGCCCACGACCGACAGCCTGACAGCCAAGAAAGGTTTAGGGTTTAGGTTTAGGGTAAGAGCCCGAAGTCCGAAAAACACGAATGTAGGGGCGTTAACAACTAGAATAGGGTTTTGGGGTGTATAGTATACTGGATGGAAGTATAATGAGGAACCTCCAAAATAATGTCGGTAATTATTACGGTCCTTTTGATAAAAAAAATACTAAACCTAATTTGCATAGCCCCAGAGTGGATAGATACAGGCGGAGGACCCCAAACCTTTCACAAATCCATATACATCCCATGTCTAACACCATGTAGAACCGTATACAGAAGCATATTATGAAATCCATATTGAAAAACCCCAAACCCTAAACAAATCCGAAGCAAAACACAGCTCCTTGCAGCCTTCGCAGCTTGAGGCGGGCGCAGTTGCCCACACAAGGGACTGGCTTGACCTTTCCAGAACCCACACATTTAATACCCCTGAAACAAGGACACACACACACACAGACATATATATATATATATACATATAAGTTATTCAAGGTTCCAAAAGGTTTAAAAGGCGCTTATAGAGCTTTATGGAGTTTTACAGGAAGCTTAAAGAAAGCTGTGGAGTTTTTAAATTGGCTTGAGTCTTCGAAGGCTTCATATTATGATTGAAGGTGTATTCCTTTCGGGGTGGTATCTGGGCTGCGTGGGAAACTCCAAACAGTTAGCAAGTCAAACTGGGCGGCGGTAGTGTTCGCTTAGATATGGGGAAGGTTTAAGATTCAAATCACGGGCCTAAGTGCTTTTCGAGACTGGGATTTAGGGTGTAATGCTCCCTAAACCGTAAAGACCAAAACCTTCAAAACCGAAACTGTCTCGACTTTCTTCGGCGTCCTTGTACCAGTTCTTGGCGCCGATCCAGGAAACCATGTTCCTGGTTGGGATGCATTAAGGATTCCTTTCAAGCTGTGTTGAAATTTTGGATGTAGGTGTTTCGGGCTTTGGCGTTTAAGGTCTGCATTCCTTGCACAGCTATAGGGCTGTGAGCTTTGGATTGAAGGACGAATCCATCGAAATGAAGGAACATCTTTTAGAATGTTGGGAAACAGAATAATCCCTTCCCCCTAATATTAAAAGGGGGGGGGGCCCCCCCACAATAGATATTCAAAATATATTTTTATAATTAGGGGGTATTCTTATCGCTACTGCCAGATTTGGGTAATTAGACTAGTCACTCAAACAAAGACAGACTCCCGGGCAT